TGTGTATATATAGAATATAAAATTGTGTATCAAAATAATGCCCTTCACTATAAACATAATTTTAGTTTGGAGAAGTAGTCGCACGCACGTGTGTCTCCATACATGCCTGTCCCTTTCCCATCATCTGGCAAAGGAGTTTTATGGAATTCAGCCACAATTCCACCATTAGAAATCTGGCAAGTTTTGACTGTATGCCTGTTGGTTGGGCTTTCTCTGAACCTGGTTAAAAAGAGTCACTGAATCTACTAATATGATGCCTTCTGATGTTATCTGGGAGGTTGTTGAGCCTGTGGAAGTATGGGCAGAGTTCTCTGTGATCTTACTCTGCACTTCTGCATTTGAGCCCTGCCCTACCTGGCTGGTGAAAACAGCCAGGGAAGAGACTGGAGTTGGCCCCAAGCTAAGTTGTACTTCTGGGGAGAAGGCAAGGTTTCAGTGCCTCTGATATTCCAGAGGTTCTGGCAGCAGTTTTTGGGGAATTTAGGTGAGGGTCTTTCTCAGACCTGTTTGGAGATTCTAGGGATGCTCTGTCACTGAACAAGACCCTCCAGGGTTAAGTAATCAAATGATGACCGCTTGCATGAAGGAGACCTTAAGTTGCTTTGCCTATATGACTCTGTGTAATATTACAGTCTTTCTACTTTACCAACAGAATGGCATTAGAATTATGGATATGGATTTGCGAACTGAGTTTGGAAATTAGAAGATTTGTTAGGAATATAGGGAGATATGTTCTCTGCAGAGATAGGCAGTACTCCAACTACTAGGTATATTCTCTAAATAAGTTTCCTTGGTTTTCATTCCCTTTTCCTCTTGCAATGTGTTTACTCTTTCTGTTAAATTCCCAGGGCCGCTCCAAATTTAGAGATTAGTCTTCTGCCATCTGTAGATCCCAGATTGAGGGTTGTCAGAATCTTTGGAATCTCTGAATATAGCCCTTCATTTTGAGGTCATAGATTTATCATCTTAAAAACAGTGACATTTCTCAGCTAAGATTTTGAAAAAATTAGAAGCTAAAGAAATTCTTTCCTTTTTTGGGCTGAACAGCAAAGGCACATATGCCAGCCATCAAACTTAGGGGGCCCTGTTGGGAAATATAGTGTACATTTCAGTAGAGTACAGGAATCTTTATGACAGATGTGATTGCTATCTGAGCCTTGAAGATCAGGCAAATATTTCAGCAACAGCTAGACCGAAATGGCCTTGCCAAATCTGTATCAAATGGGTGGTAGGAGATTTCTAGAGGAGGAGAAATTTTCTAAAAATTTCTCAAGGGCAGGCTTACTCTTAATGGCACCATTTCTGAAAAAAAAAAACAATGGGAGGTATTCCTTCATGTTGCCTTCTTTTGGGATTTAGCTGAAACATAGTAAGCCTGGAAGGCTGCAGATTGCTAGAAAGATGAGATACGGTGCAAAACAAGACATTCAACCATGTTGTTGACTACCTAATAACTTGTTGTTGTTCAGTCGTTAAATCGTGTCCGACTCTTCATGACCCCATGAACCATATTGCGCCAGGCCTTCCTGTCC